AAGTTAATGAATTCGAAATTTTATTAACAGAAATCACGCAACGGAAACGGACAAAGTTTTGGGTTGTCACAGTTTATATCTTCCTTCAGCAGGTTCTTTAGATCTTGTGGCCTATTGTGATGCTAGTTGGTTAAGCTGTCCAACCACTAAAAGGTCATGTACGGGATATTTCATTACACTTGGAGGATCACCAGTTTCCTGGAGGACAAAAAAGCAAACAGTAGTGTGTAGATCTTCAGCGGAAGCAGTATATAGGTCGATGGCAACTACTATATGTGAAATTTTATGGCTCGGGTGGCTTCTTCAAGATTCGGATGTTGTGCAAAGTGGCTCAACTCCTCTTATGTGTGACAATGAAGCAGCTAGACACATTGCAGCTAATCTAGTTTATCATGAACGAACAAAACACGTTGAGATGGACTGTTATTTTGTGCGAGAAAGGGTAAACAGTGGAGAGATCAAAACTTTTTCTATACGTTCTGATTTTCAGGTTGCAGATATTTTCACTAAGGCTCTTGGTGAAGATCGATTCAAATTTCTACGTGGCAAGTTGGGTGTTCGTGACTTACACACTCCAACATGAGAGGGAGTATTACGATTAAGGATAGTTATTATCTTTGTCTAACCTATAGTTATCTTTATTTATCCAATAGTTATCATGTTTAAATGTTTACTGAATTCTAGGATTTCAGTTTAGTGTTCAGATCATGGTTATATATTCTCCTGTGTAAATTGATTGAAAATAGTGAAAAACACGTTTTTACTTTTCTAAATTTATTATTATAGTTTTGTTTCGAAGTTTGATCTAACCCCCCTAAATCTAATGTTCGTGTTCTGCCCTTGACCACCAAACCACAAGTCTCATTAAATGTCCAACACACTCGATCCTATATCAGCTCTATCCGTGGTTCTTTCTCTCCTGGTGGTCATGGCGGCCGTTCTGGTGGATGGGGGCGTGGTCGTAGCCCTCCTCATTATCAACTATACCAGAAAGATGGGCATTATGCTTCTCAATGCCTAGATCTTTCTACTTTTGCAACCCGTGGTCCTAACCTTGATGCTAACTTAGCCCATGCCTTCACTGGTAAGTGTAATGTTCATGATAACCCCTCTGATTGGTATGTTGATTCTGGCGCTTCTACACACATGACACCATCGGCTACTAATCTTATTACCTCCACTCCATACAATGGGAATGAACATGTCTCTTTTGGAAGCGGTAATATTCTCAATATATCTCGAATTCGTAATGCATCTCATACAAAAGATATTAATCTAACAGTTGTTCTTGTCGTTCGAACACTTAACAAAAATCTTCTTTCCATAAGTAAATTAACACCTGGTTCTCCCGTTGATGTGTTGTTCTCTAATCATAAATTTGCAATTAAGAAACGACTCACGAAAGAGGTGCTAGCAAATGGAAGGGTTGATAATGGGCTCTATGTGCTTGAGCATGGTCATAAAGATTTGGTTGCTCAACTAAACTTAAATAGGCTGCATGTATCCTATGAGCTCTGGCATAGCCGTCTAGGACATGTTTCGTTTTTTTTTTACTATTTCCTTGTTACATAAACATGGTCATTTGTTTGTTACTTCCCTTTTACCTAAACTCGATGTTTTCTCATCTTGTGAGATTTCTAAAAGTCATAAGCTTCCATTTCTTTTAAATGAAAAACAATCTTTACATGTGTTGGATATGATACATTGTGATTTATGTGGTCCTACACCTGTTTTATCTACATATGGTTATATATATTATGTTATTTTTGTTGATGAGTTCTCCCGATTTACTTGGTTCTATCCCTTAAAGAACAAGTTTGACTTTGCCACAGTTCTTAAAACCTTTTTGGCAATTATTCAAACTCAATTTTCATGCAAGTTTAAAGTTTTCCAAAGTGATAGTGGCACTGAACCAAGTCAAAACTTATTTGCTGAAAATGGTAGTCATCATCGTATCTCAAGCTCTTATACACCTGAACAAAATGGGCGTGTTCAGCGTAAACATCGTCATATCACCGAAAATGGGCTTGCTCTGTTATTTACTGCAGGTGCACCGTCGTCCTTATGGGTTGATGCTTTTAGTTGTGGTGTATACATTATTAATCGGTTTCCATTGCATGTGCTAGACAACAAGTCACCATTCGAGCTTCTCTTTAAAACTCAGACAAATTTTCACGTGTTTTGTACCTTTGTATGTCTTGTATTTCCTTATTTAAGGAACTATTCAAATCATAAACTTTCTCCACGCAACATCCCTTGTGTTTTCCTTGGGCATAGCACCCAATACAAAGGTTATCGGTGTATTGATATGACTACTTCTAAGATCTACACCACTCATCATGCTAAGTTTGATGAGACTATATTTCCGTTCAGTGGTGATGTTTGATGAGACTATATTTCCGTTCAGTGGTGATGTTTCTGTGTCTAATGATACTAGCATGTTTCTATCAAATTTTGAAGAAGCAAGTGCACCATTGTCGGCCCAATCAAATCCCCGTGATGCACCCATCCGTCCCCATGTTGCTCCCTAACGAGCCTAAGTCCATGCCATTTGTGTCTTGATTATGACAAATTTGTTCCTAGATATGTTCAACACTTGTTAAAGATGTTCCTCCAGATCTGAAAGAAAGAGAAGAAGGGAGGAGAAGATCGGCGGTTGAGTAGGGTTTTTAGATGGTTGTGTGCTCTGATACCATGATAACAGATATGCTGAACTCGTGAGTCTTTCATTGATAATATAAGAATATATATACAAGATGTATCACACTATTTTCGGTATAAGATATGTACAATATCTTCACTAACAAATGTCTAAGAATACAAGGGAAGATAATCTTGGCTAATAATAAACTCGGCTAATAATGACACTTCATGGTTATGACACGTGGCAAGTTGGTAAAGAAAGAACATAGCACATCTGCGATTATTGTTCATATCCACTCAAAAAGCTCTTCATCTGTTGGTCAATTATTTTGCTCATTGCAGAGAAGCAATATGGTTTGGCTGATCCTGTACATAGAACTTGCAGCAATGAACTTACAGAGTGAGTGATCCAGAGTTACATTTTTCCTTGCCTTGAACTGTATCACAATACTTACTGCTTCATCACCCAAGCATTCAAGAATTTTCTGTGATGTTTCTCCTTTACGAGCCTTCTTTTGTAGATCAATTTGTAGCCACTTGCAGTATACTTCAACATCCATCCACACATGTCTAGCTGCTTTTCTTGCCCTTACCAACTCACCATTTGTATTGAGGCTTTCTTCGATATGTCTTACAAACTGGAGACCTTCCCTCATGTTGTCAAGCAAACCCTTGATTTGGCCATTTGCAATGTTGGGAAGAGCAAGTGCAATGGCAGTTAATGTCTCTGCTACTAGGCTCCAACAATTCTGTATTTCTTCTGGATGTAAAGATGGAACTCAGTCATTGTCAAATTCTACTACTCCATTAAATCCAGTAGATTTCTCGAGAAGCTTCATAAGATTCCTTGGCTCTTTCTTTTCAGACTCTTGAAGAAGTCGAGTTATAGAGTTGAGCGTATTTCGTAATAATCTCTTTGAAAGCTTCGCATCCTGTTCGATTTGCAGGACATAATTGGTATATTCTTCCATATCGAATATGACATTTGTATTAGATGCATTTGGTTCTTCCTTCAACCACTTCAAGGAAGACTTGGCGAAGTGGTAACAATAAGAGAATAAGATCAGAAAAGTTATGTCAATGAGACATATTATTTTACATATAACCACAACCATTATCTGAAGCACTATACAAAAGTTCAAAATTATATTTCTGATGTTGTGGAAAACTTTCTTGCGATGGCGGCCTGGGAGATATGAAGGGACATGGCTGTGTTTCCACTGCTGAAGTCTTTGTTTCCAATGCTTCTCGACATGGAACACGTTTATATGGTGCATGCTCTATTTCAGGGAGAGGTTGAAGTGACTGGTGGCAGTCAAACATCTGAAAATTGGTGCTATACTACCTATTATTGCCCCAAGTAACTACAAGTAAACAATTAATTTGATTTACCACTTATAATCCGATATATAATTCTCAATATCTGATCTAAAAACAAGCAAAAAAATAAATGCACTGTAAGCAAGGAATGATCATAGAACCCCAAAAAGCAGAAGAAACTGGTGAACAAGCAATTGCAAATTGGGGGTTACCAGTCTCTGCCATCATCCAATACTTTTTAACCTTATGTTCAATTTCCTTGTAGGAGAAGTTTATCTGTTCCTGATTAGAAGCCAAACTGTGCAACTCCTTGTACCGTTGTTGTAAAACTCTTCTAGATGCTGAAACTGTCAAGGCTACTGAAATTGGCCGTTGTTGTAAAACTCTTCTAGATGCTGAAACTGTCAAGGCTACTGAAATTGGCCATGGAATCAAAAGAATCAATAAAATGTTTAATGATGCCAAAGTCACCGAAGCACTAATAAATTGGATACACATATTTACATTAATGGTGTATATGAGGATACACAAGGCCACCGTATTCAGCAGAAGTTCATTGTCATTCATAAGCCCTGAAGATGGGAGAAAGTTGGCTAACATGGTTGTGACAACCGTCAAAATTGGAGTCGGTTCTAGATTTAACTAGACTTAGTTGCACATATAGGCACTAAACATACTAGACTTAGTAACTAGAAGCTAAGTTATAACCTACTAGAAACTT